GATGAATGTTTACAAATGTCTAGAGTTTGTTATGGTGGCATATGTAATCTTTTAACAATTTCCTAATGGTATCCTGCCCTGCGGGTTAGAAATAAAGTTATTAGTATTATCTCTCTTGTTTTGTTTCTACACATGCTTCTCAGTCACCACTTTCTCTCTGATTTGAAGCATAATTTTTTAGTGCAAACAACAAGCAGTCTCCAAGTTGCAAGCATCTGACTTACAAAATAACGGTCGAGACAACAGGAAGCAAGAGAAATACCCCTTGGAAGGGAAAGAGTTATCATGGGAAAAAAGTGTATACACTGAAGTTTTCTCACCAATCCTCATTTCCACAAAATCCAATTATCACGGGGACAGAAAGTGAGGTGAACAGGGGCATAGACAGCAAAACAAAAACCGCAGGGTTGTTAGGCCTTCCCTATGCTATCCAAAGCTTGTGTGTGTGTGTGTGTGTATGTGTGTGTATACCTGGAGTTAAACTTAAAAAATGTACCTGTTCCGATGCACAAACATATTCAACCTAAGAACAAACCTACAGAACCTATCTTGTTCATAACTTGGGAACTCCCTGTATTTCGGAGCCCAAATGTTGAGAACTGTTGATTTAAGAGATGGGAATGTATACTCTTCATTGAATTGTGTGTATCTTTATTTGCGTTCCCAAATTTATTTTCCTCCTTGGTCTGTGTTTGTATGTTATAGAAGGGAATTGAAGAGGATGAAATAATGCTTATCGTGAAATATATCCTAGATCTCTTTTGAGTGCTCTAAATTTCTCCATAGCTATAGGGTGAAATATATTTTTCCTTGTCAACTTGTGATATGTGAAGGAGACCAAAGGACAATAGGAGCTGTTTGGGGGTAAATTATGTTTAAGATTTAGAAGTATTTTCCCCCAAATCATTGCCATGAAACTGACTGTTCCGGCACACGATTTATATTTTGCATTTCATTGTATCCCTCTTCAGGATCCTGGTGGGGAAAAAATCAATTAGTAAATACTTTAAATAAATAATAGATGTTTATTAACAGTATTCTATCCATTGCTGTATGCATTCTGTTTCAGCATAAAGAGTGCTGTTGGGTGTAAAGAGTCTTACTGAATGTAATGCAAAATCAGCTGGAGTTTTCCCTGGCTCCATCACGATTTATAGATTTATTTTCAGCATTTGGCTGTAATGAACAAAATGTAATTAATTGCTTACCATTTTCCCAGTCAAGGTTATCAAGTTAATCCATTCATTAGCGGCACATATCAGAATGTGGAAACAACTGGTTATCTATAACCAGTTATATGCCACTTTCTTTTCCCCTCCTGCCAGTGAGGCTTAACTAACCTCACTCAATATTCTTGTGATGTGATTGCAGTTTCATTGTTTGGAGGAAGGAGGGAAGAGGCAGCGGGGAATGCAGTATTTTGGCTCTACAAATTGACACGAGCAGATGGCGCTTGCAATATACAGTGGCTTACTGCATCATGTGATGAGCCTTCTGTGAGAGACTTTGCAGCATAGGCTCAGAGGAAGGGATTTATAGATTTGCTGGTTTTCTGCCTTGGGTGGGTCCTTCTCATTTTCATTTGGAGATTGACAAAGTTTTTTTGTGAACAACACATAAAGGTTATGCACAATTCCATTAAAGAGTGGCATGTGTTTCTAGGAACAAAATATGAGAGTTCAACAGTAATTACTAAATACTAATGTCAGCCTCTCTATCCAGAAGACTAGTATCCATGGTTTTGTTTATCCACGTCCAACAAATATGTCCTCTCTAAGCATATTCTAGGTCTTCCAGACTATATTTGTACCCAGGGGTGGCCCTAGGTAATTTTCAACAGTAAGCAAACACCCCCAATCACTGATATATATTTTGTGTTTGTTGTGGGAGTTCTGTGTGCCATATTTGGTTCAATTCCATCATTGGTGGAGTTCAGAATGCTCTTTGATTGTAGGTGAACTATACATCCCAGTAACTACAACTCACATATGTCAAGGTCTATTTTCCCCCAAGAGCGCCTCAAGAGCGCCCCTGGGCAAAATCAACTATACCACGAATGCTTACTTTGCATAAGGGGTTCAGCCGCCCCTGTTTGTACCAGAAATTCTTCAGTTTAATTGTATTCTCTTTTATCCATTGATTTGCATAACCACATAAATCCATGAATGTATACTCTGTGGACATAGGACTCGGACTGTAATGGGAGGAATAGGATGAAGGAATCACAGTGTAATGGTTAACTGTATACATGAGGTATGGAAGAAGTACAAAGAACAGAGTACTATCTGACGAGCTAGGGACTGGGCATTTATAAATATGGACTAGTCATTCTCAAAATCTTAAACGCATTCTTTGAGAAATCTGTTTTGGCTTATATTTTAAAAACATTATAATATATTGTTGAAAGCTTTCATGGCTGGAATCACTGGGTTGTTGTAGGTTTTTCGGGCTATATGGCCATGTTCTAGAAGCATTCTCTCCCGACATTTCACCTGCATCTATGGTAGACCTCACAACCTCAGAGGATGCTTGCCATAGATGCAGGTGAAACGTCAGGAGAGAATGCTTCTAGAACATGGCCATTTAGCCCGACAGCAACCCAACATTATAATATTTTAGGTTATATATACTTCGGGTTAAATACACATCTTAGGACTTACGGATTTAAGACTTCCACACAGTCAAACTGTTTGATGGACATGTCCTATTTTGCATTGCTCTTTGAAGGTTTATTACCACCATCACAATTTGCATCACTCTGATGCTAATCCCACTATTATGTAATCGTTCTTAAATTCATTCTTGTTTTATGCCTTGAAGCCATTTCTGTCTTAGAGCAGAAAACCCTTGTTTCACAGTATCCCAGTCCAACATTCAAACCATTATACCACGTTGGTTCTCCATGTGCCTGAAGAAACAGATTGAAATTCTCAAAAGCTCATGGTAAAAGAAATCAGTTTCAAATATGCTGCTAGGTGAGTCTTCTGCAATAGACTTCTCTCTCAATCTTTCCCAATTTTTCATGCTGACACAGGTTAACATTGTGGTTGTTATATATGCTCCAAAGTGACATAGGTAATTTTGTTCTGAAGCAGATACCGTTGAGTTATGTTTAGACCCCATGTATCTGTTTTATGTGTCCAGGTCACCCCAGCCTCACAAGTCTGTTTTTGACTGCAGTGACCTTCATTCCCCCGCTGCTCCATATTTTGTAAAGGTTAGGTTAATACTTGGTAAAGGTCAGGCACTGTCGCATTCTTCGCTCCGAACGATCACACCCTCAAGGCATTTCATCAAAAAGGAAAAATGCTATCATAAACTAGGACATTAAGACTGTGTATGCTACGGGCATGTAATATTTATGCTGCAGGGAAGAAACGGTTCCTGCTGAGCATGCTGGAAGCTCAATCCATTTCAAGCGACAACATAACAAAGCACTTAGAGAAGGAAACTTTAAATGGCGAAGGCGTGTAAGATTTCTTTCAAAGGCAGCTCTCTGAAGAAAAGATATTTACTGTCTGAAAATCATTTCTAAAAATGATTTAAGGAAGATTTTAAGGGGAAGACTATCTATTAAAATAGGCCCCAAAGGCACCAGATGGGAGATGGATGGGAGACTGCCAAGGAATCCCAAGGGCTGCAGGCGATATTTTAGAGGAAAGAACTGGCAGAACTACAGCTAAGGCATTCCTTGCCTAAGAAACCTTGTGAAATTCAAGGGGGTGCCTTAAGTTGACAGGCTGCTTGAAGGCAAACACCAACGCACAGAATATCAGATCATTACATTTTCTGATCTTGGTTTCTTTTTTTTTGGTTCTTTTTATGGAAGCGAGTGTTGTATATTATATCATCTTGATACTGTGTAGAATGAGAGGATACACAATTATTTTCTCTGTTTATTAATGACTAGCCGTGCCCTGCCACACGTTGCTGTGGCCCAACCTGTTGATCTGGAAAATAAAGTAATGGTTTCTAATATATGTAATTTCTTTATGCTTCTGGGTAAACAGTATTTCTTGCTGTTTCTTTTCTCAGTGATTATGTGGAGAGTGTCTGGTTTGCCAATTCTGGAACATGGAACATATTATTGTCCTTCTTTAGGGGTCCCTTTCAGATATATATTATATCTGTGTGTGTGTGTGTGAATCATATATATCTATCTGTATCTATGGTTGGATGGCTCTTCGTCAAAAGGGCTTTGATTACATTTTCTTGCCCTGGTGAAGGGAGTTGGACTGGATGGCCTTAAGTATTTTCTGTTGGTCAGGGGGGTTCTGTGTGGGAAGTTTGGCCCAATTCTATCATTGGTGGAGTACTAAAGGCTCTTTGATTGTAGGTGAACTATAAATCCCAGTAACTACAATTCCCAAATGTCAAGGTCTATTTCCCCCAAATTCCATTTGTGTTCATATTTGGGCATATGGAATATTCGTGCCAAGTTTGGTCCAGATTTATAATTTTTTGAGTCCACAGTGCTCTCTGAATGTTAGTGAACTACAAACCTAAACTCAAGGTCAATGCCCACCAAACCCTTCCTAGTGTTTTCTGTTGATCATGGGAGTCCTTAGTGCCACGTTTGCTTCAATTCTATCATTGGTGGGGTTCAAAATCCTCTTTGGTTGTAGGTGGACTATAAATCTTTGGCTTAGAAATGGAGATGAGCACCACACCCCAGAGTCAGACACAACTGGACTTAATGTCAGGGGAAAACCTTTACCTTAAGCTAGGTGGAAAATAACTCATTACAAATTGTATCATGATGATTATATTGCTGAAAAATAATAAATATATAGCCCTGTGAGATTCTTGACATAAATCAACAGGTAACTTGAAGGCACATACTTGTATGCATACACACACAAGCACATTTCCCAAGATCTATTCTTGTTAGGCCTATCATTTGGGTTTAAGATCTTAATAAGTGTGGATTATTGGCTGCTCTTCCTTCTACTAATTTGTCAAGATTGACGAGTGCTAAATAATGGTCTCTCTCATTATAGGCCCAGCTGGAAGCTCAGAAAGCAACACAGGATTTCCAGAGAGCCACAGAGGTGCTCCGGGCTGCAAAGGAGACCATTTCCCTGGCTGAGCAGAGGCTGCTGGAAGATGACAAGCGTCAGTTTGACTCTGCCTGGCAGGAGATGCTTAACCATGCCACCCAAAGGGTAAGATCTGTTGCTTATCTAGGGAAAAGCTGCCCTTTGCTTTCTGTCCCTTCCTGTAGAAAGTTGCACATTCTTGAGAGGCTTGTGAAAGAGATTAACGTTACAGAATACCGTGTGTCATGTTTTGTTGGCCAGGTTCTGAATTTGCAATGATCCATGAGGAGCTCCATTAAAAAAGAATTTGTGGTGCAGTCATATAAGTTACTTCATATAACATTTGGTCTGACCTGGTCACATATATGGTTTTAAAGGAACTTAATAAAGCCATCTTAGACCTCTTCCACACAGCTGAATAATATCCTACATTTGCAGTTTAATGAACGTTTCTCATGTTTTTTGCACTTTTTGCAGTTTAATGAACGTTTCTTATGTTTTTATGATAGAACCAGTTAGGAAATGACATGTATTACCCAGGAACTGAAATAACTTTACATAGTGTTATGATTCTGGAAACCTACTGTGTGACTTTGAGTAAGTCACACACTGTCAGCAACAGAGGAAGGTGAAGGTGGAAATCCCTCTCTGAACAATTTTTTTTCAAGAAAATAAATAAATAAATAAAGCTTTGTTTGTACCCCGCAACCATCTCCCCAAAGAGATTCGGGGTGGCTAACAAAACATTCAAGGTGTCACATAAAATAGAATTACATATCATTAAAACAATACACAATTTGGATACAAACAATACTATTATTATTATTATTATTATTATCTTTATTTGTACCCCGCTAACATCTCCCGAAGGACTCGATGCGGCTTACAAAGGCCAAGGCCTCAATAAAAACAACAACATAACAATACACATAGACAATAGACAATGTCAATAGATAATATGTGTGTCTGTGTGTATAAATTAAAAATTCTAAATAACAATCATACCTGTGGGTCATTGGGTTTCTTCAAATATGAACTAAAGTGCCGAATAACAATGGCTGACGTCATCACATGACCATAGTGCATTACTCCAGGCAAATACCATTGTTTTAGGCTCAAACTGAAGGTTTTGAGATTTAGGACCAATTGATCTCTCTAGGGAGGGAATTCCAGAGCCGGAGAGCCACCATCGAGAAGGCTATCTCTCTCGTACTCACAAACTGCATCTGTGACGGTGGTGGGACTGAGAGAAGGGCCTCCCCAGCAGATATCAGCACTGATATAGCGCTTTATAGGTAATAACCTGCGCTTTGAATTGGGCCAACAGCAACAGTTACCTAAACACTTACGACTTGACAGAATGACTTTAATTATGTTTGTCATCAGCTTCCAAATTTTGTTATGCTTTGCGTCTATGTTGAGAAGTTGGGGCTGTAATGCTGTTAAAAATGGACTCGAGCTCAGCATAAAGTAGTCCTGCTGCTGCTTCAACTCAAAGCCATTTTTATTTTTTCTTCTTTTAAAGGTCATGGAGGCAGAGCAGACGAAAACCAGAAGTGAGCTGGTGCACAAGGAGACAGCAGCCAAGTATAATGCTGCCATGGGCAGAATGAAGCAGTTGGAGAAGAAACTGAAAAGAGCTATAAATAAATCCAAGTATGTGTAGTCACTTTGTAGATATAGGTCAAATTCTTACCTGCATATATTAGAGAATGATGCATGTGCTTAAGAGAGAGAGTGAGTGGGTAGGTAGGGGAGAGGCAGAGAAAGAAAGAAAGAGATAGGATATTACATGACAAGAGGACTTTTTTTAGGCTTTTGGTCACATACAGGTGAAGAACTCATAACTTAAGCTTATATCTCTATTGTCCTTGACCAACGATTCTTCTCCATGTTATATCTTATGATTTTGGGAAATCTTTTTGCCACTTTTTCTATCGAGTTCGATCACAATAACACAGAGAATTGGGTCCTTGAACGACAGGGAAATCATTATGCATACTCAACACTCTGTTAGGAAGTTCTGCCTTGGTTCGACCACATTGGGAATACTGTATCCAATTCTGGGCACCACAATTGAAGGAAGATGTTGACAAGCTGGAATGTGTCCAGAGGAGGGCGACCAAAATGATCAAGGGTCTGGAGAACAAGCTCTATGAGGAGCTGCTTAAAGAGCTGGGCATGTTTAGCCTAAAGAAGAGAGGGCTGAGAGGAGACATGATGGCCATGTATAAGTACAACAGAGGAAGTCATAGGGAGGAGGGAGCAAGCTTGTTTTCTGCTGCCCTGGAGACTAGGACACGGAACAATGGCTTCAAACTATTCCATCTGAACATTAGGAAGAATTTCCTGACTATGAGAGCCGTTCAGCAGTGGAACTTTCTGATCCAGAGTGTGGTAGAGGCTCCTTCTTTGGAGGCTTTTAAACAGAGGCTGGATGGCTATCTGTTGGGGGTGCTTTAAATGCAATTTTCCTGCTTCTTGGCAGGGGGTTGGACTAGATGGCCCATGAGGTCTCTTCCAACTCTATGAGTCTATGATTCTAAGTTGTTCAGGAAATAAGGGGGAAATTATGGCCAAGACATGATGCTGGGTTTTACATCCTTCTCTGGAAAATAAAAAAAGGAAATGAATAATTGATATTGGAATTCCTTTATCTTTGAATAGATGGCTTAGGATAGGAAACCCTGAAACATTTAGCGTTGGACTCCAGGGCAGACATTTCTCTTGCTTATTAGTAGATTGTTTTGCCAATAAATAATGATAATCACACCAACCTTTTTTTTGTACTTTCTCTCCAGGCCTTACTTTGAACTCAAGGCAAAATACTATGTACAACTAGAGGTATGTATCAATAAAAAAATTCAGCAAAGATTTAAAACTTGAAATACATATATCACAAATCAGTATTATGATTGTTTGATTTTAGAGAAAACGTTCGGACCACTAATGGCTAATAGTCAGGATGACTAAATGCTACTCCTTGTTATTACAGGCTCTATGCCCTTGTTTATCAGTTGCTGGAGAGATGAGGAAGAGCACACTGTTGAACTCATGTTCTACTGGTGGCTTTTCCATAGGCACTGGCAGTTGGCTTCTTTTTAATTTTTTCTTGTCATTACTTTTATGAGCCACCTTTGGGTTCCACTTTGGGAGCATATACGTTAAACAAATAAACAAATAAACAAGCCTTGTGAGGTTCTAAAGTTAACATATCTTCACTCCATATGCGAGCTCTGAATCACAAATATTAGACTTTGTAACATGATTTTTGTTCCTGGGTTATAAATGTAATTTCCTAATTGGTTCTATTATAAAAACATGAAAAAAAGTTTATTAAACAGCTAAAACTTTGTTTTTGCGGAACACTGCAGCACATGTTGCTATAGTTTTTCAATGACTATCTCATAGAGTCTCACTCGTAATCAATTCATAGTTTGTGGCAGCCACAAAACCAATGTTTCTGGAGTATGACAGCTACTTTCAAAGTAAGCACCACAGAATTAAGCAGGAAATAACACTTTCAAATCAGGAACAGATTTTCCCCCCAATTTTGGTTACATCTGTATAAATGAAAATGTAATGTTCGTTTGTGGGATTAACATAACTCAAAAACCACTGGGCGAATTGACACCAAATTTGGACATAATATACCTATCAGGCCAATGAGTGACCATCACTCATAAAAACACTGAACAACACAGCGGAAGAGACTTAAAAAGCATTTTTTTAAAAAAAATACAATTTATGTGCAGAACCACATATAGACACATATACACAAATATATACACACACACATATATATACACTCAAAACACATATACACAGGCTGGGCCACAGCAACGCATGGCAGGGAATGGCTCGTAGTGTTATAAAAAGGAATATTTTCTCTAAATCAAGATAATAACAGTAGGCTGTTTGTCTGGGAGAGGGTTTATTGGGAGAAGTCAGAAATCTATGGACTGAGTTAGATTCAGATACCCCATGACCTTAGGGGGCCGATCCTTACAGGAGATCCATGCACATAATGCTTCAGTAGTAATGAGTCTTAACTTTGGCTGAATCAGACTTGTGAATGGGTTGAAATGCTGTGTTTATTGTCTCAAAACCAAATCTCACCTTTTATTACCCTAAAGTTTCCATTTAAGCAATGTACCTCTCACAATAAGGTTAAAACTACCTCTCTGTGAATTTTATATTAATAATAAGACTCACTATAAGCAACTGTGGCGCAGCTGGCTGGGAGTCAGCTGCATTAAGATCACTACTGACTGAAAGGTCATGAGTTTGAAGCCAGCCCGGGTCGGAATGAGTGACTGACCAATTTGTGTAGCTTGCTGTCGACCTTTGCAGTCCGAAAGACAGTTGCATCTGTCAAGTAGGAAATTTAGGTACCGCCTACGCGGGGAGGCTAATTTAACTAATTTACGATGCCATAAAAATCTCCAGCAAGCCTGGAAAGAATGAGGAAGTACTTCAACAGTGTCACAAATGGACGGTGAAGCAACAGCTCTCCTGGTGGCCAGAATACCTCCATGAAAAGTTGGAATGTTAAATTGCCTCTGTGTCTATCTATATATGTTGTGTGTCTATGGCATTAAATGTTTGCCGTGTATATGTACATTGTAATCCGCCCTGGGCCTCCTGTGGGGTGAGAAGGGCGGAATATAAATACTGCAAATAAATAAAATAAATCAATGTATCGCTCCCTGGTGGTGCTACGGGTTAAACCGCTGAGCTGCTGAACTTGCTGACCAAAAGGTTGGCGGTTCAAATCCCGCTGTTAGGCCCAGCTTCTGCCAACCTAGCTACCTAACAAGTTGGACACAACTAGACTTAATGTCATGGGAAACATGTACCTTTACTTTACCTGTCTCTCTTAGTAAGAATGTATTTTGCTTCCTTAGCAATTGAAAAAGACGGTGGACGATCTGCAAGCAAAACTGTCCTTGGCAAAGGGTGAATACAAAACAGCACTGAAGAACCTAGAAATGATCTCTGACGAGATCCATGAGAGGAGGCGAGCTTCTTCCATGGGGCCCAGAGGGTGTGGTGTGGGCGCTGAAGGCAGCAATACTTCGGTGGAAGACCTTTCAACATGCAAATTGGAGCCAGATAATATCTCTAGTAAGTAGAAGTAAAATGTGCGGAGTTTGAGTAGGTCTGCAAAAAATAAATAAATTCTGGATTTGCCATATATTTTCGCAAAACATTTGGTCCTCCATATGTTTTAGACTCCAGCTCCCAGAATTCCTGACAGTTGGCCAATCAACCCAAGGTTCCTGGAGGACCAGCAGTAGGGAACCACTACTGTAGATGAAGCATTTACTCCAAACTGGCAGCTTTGCCTATTAAAACACATGAAAATGTCAACAGAAAAATGGGGCTCCAAAGAAGCCTTGAGATCCCTTGTTGCTGATGAATGATAGCAGAATACTGAATGAATTAGTCTGTCATAAGCCAAAAGCTGTTGTCCTCCTTTCCTGTGGTGCAATATGTGACTGAAATGAGAATGGCTGGTTACATGTTATCTTTACCCACTACTTGGGTCCCCTGGTGGCACAGCAGGTTAAACTGCTGAGATGCTGAACTTGCTTATTGAAAGGTTGGCGGTTCAAATACGGGAAATGGGGTGAGCTCCTGCTGTTAGCCCCAGCTTCTGCCAACCTAGCAGTTTGAAAAAAAGCAAATGTGAGTAGATTGGTAGGTACCACTTCTGTGGGAAGGTAACAGTGCTCCATGTAGCCATGCTGCCCACATGACCTTCAAGGTGTCTATGTACAAGGCCAGCTCTTAGGCTTAGAGATGAGCACCACCCCCCAGAGTTAGATACAACTAGGCTCAGTGTCAGGGGAAACATTTACCTTTACCTCTATACCCATTCCTTATTGTCACACTAACTGGTGCCAGTTTATTTATTTATTGTGTCAGGAGCAAACCAAAATTTGCATTAAAAGTAAACAAACAAACAAAACACAAAGTTTGCAGACTTGGTATTGTATTAAATGTCCTTTGACCAGTATCTGACCACTTGAAGTGTCTCTGGTCTTACTATAAGGAGGTCTTTCATTGTGCATGTGACAGGGCTCAGCAGGTGGTCTGTGTTTTGCTCTTCTCCACACTCGCATGTTGTGGATTCCACTTTGTAGCCCCATTTCTGAAGATTAGTTCTGCATCTTGTGGTGCCAGAGGGCAGTTTGTTCAGCGCCTTCCAAGTCGCCCAGTTTTCTGTGTGCCCAGGAGGGAGTCTCTCATTTGGTGTCATCCATTGATAGAGATTCTAGGTTTGAGCCTGCCACTTTTGGACTTTCGCTTTCTGAGGTGTTCCAGAGAGTGTCTCTGTAGATCTTAGAAAACTATTTCTTGATTTAAGTCATTGGCGTGCTGGCTGATAGCCAAACGGGGTGGGCCGGAGATGTCATTGCCTTGGTCCTTTCACTGTTGGTTGCTACTTCCCGGCGGATGTCAGGTGGTACAATACCGGCTAAACAGTGTAATTTCTCCAGTGTTGTAGGGCGCAGACACCCCGTGATATTGCAATATGTCTCATTAAGAGCCACATCCACTGTTTTAGCATGGTGAGATGTGTTCCACACTGGGCATGCGTACTCAGCAGCAGAGTAGCATAGTGCAAGGGCAGATGTCTTCACTGTGTCTGGTTGTGATTCCCAGGTTGTGCCAGTCAGTGAAGTTCAACAATAATGGGGAAGAAAGTTTCAGGTTTTCCAGTCCCTTATTGTTTCACGTCTGTTGCTGTGGACTGTAAGGTTGCCGCTGGTGTTATCAAAGTGGTGAGCACACATAGTCCTTAACAATGATTTGACAGTATGTGAGATCAATGCAACTATCTTTAGAGCTGGCCTTTGATAATAGTGAAAAATCAGCTTGTTTTTAATGAGAGCCGCCATGGGTATATTTCAAACAGTGTATGTAATTATAATGATGGGGGGCAGAGTCCATAAACTAGTGGCATCATCAAAGCGATACACACTAGATGTCAGGGGAATAGCTTTGTTAATGAAGTTTTCTCTCAATGTTGCACACAGTGGCTTCGGAAGTGTTTGAGGATGACAACTGCAGCAGTGTTGTATCTGAAGAGGATTCTGAAACCCAGTCTGTGTCCAGTTTCAGTTCTGGTCCCACGAGTCCTTTTGATATGCCGACTCAGTTCCTTCCTGTGGCGCGACCCAGAAGCTTGGATCTGTCCAGCCCCGTCTCGCTCTCTGAATTTGGCGTATTTCCTTTATTAGGACCTCGCAGTGAATGTAGTGGGGCTTCTTCTCCCGAGTGTGAAATTGAAAGAGGTAAGTTGAACTAAAAAGGCCTATTATATTTTCTGTACTAGGAGACACTAGGATAAGGTTCACAGAGAAAAACACCAATATCACGCTTTTCTAAGGGATAGAGAATCTTAGACCCTCAGTATGGTAGACTACGATTTCCCAGATCTCTTGTATTTCATTGTTAACCATGCTGCCAATGACTGATACAAATCCTGATTCAGCATCTTGAGAGGCACATCTTTCCCTGTCCCGTTTTATGTACATTTATGTATGACTAAAGAGATAGCTGAGGATCTTTACGTATAATCTGTATAAATGAGTTTTCTGGGCTGTATGGCCATATCCTCCTGATGTTTTGCCCACATCTATGGGAGGCATCCTCAGATGTTGAAGGGTCTGTTGGAAACTAAGTAAGTGAGGTTTATATATCTGTGGAATAATGTCCAGGGTGGAAGAAAAAACTCTTGTCTGCTTGAGGCAAGTGTGAATGTTGGAATTGGCCAACTTGACTATCATTTAAAGGCCTGCAGTTTCAAGACCTGGCTGGTTGCATCCTGGGGGAATACTTTGTTTGGAGATGTTAGCTGGCCCTGATTGATTCTTGTCTAGAATTCCCCTGGTTTTTGAGTATTGCTCTTGATTTACTGTTCTGATATTAGTTTTTTAGTTTTTTTAATAGCTAGATTTTGTTCATTTTCATTGTTTCCTTTCTGTTGAAATTGTCCATGTTTGTGGATTTCAATGGCCTCTCCATGTAGTCTGACATGTTAGTTGTTAGAGGGGTCCATCATTTCTGTGTTCTCAAATAATATGCTGTGTCCACGTTGGTTCATCAGGTGCTCTGCTATGGCTGACTTCTCTGGTTGATGTAGTCTGCAGTTTCTTTCATATTCCTTGATTCGTATTTGGGTGCACCGTTTGGTGGTCCCTATGTAGACTTGTCCACAGCTGCATGATACACAGTTGACAAGCTGGAATGCGTCCAGAGAAGGGCAACTAAAATGATCAAGGGTCTGGAAAAGAAGCCCTATGAGGAGCGACTTAAAGAGCTGGGCATGTTTAGCCTGAAGAAGAGAAGGCTGAGAAAAGACATGATAGCCATGTATAAATATGTGAGAGGAAGTCATAGGGAGGAGGGAGCAAGCTTGTTTTCTGCTGCCCTAGAGACTAGAATGCGAAACAGTGGCTTCAAACTACAAGAAAGGAGATTCCACCTGAACATTAGCAAGAACTTCATGACTGCGAGAGCTGTTCAGCAGTGGAACTCTCTGCCCTGGAGTGTGGTGGAGGCTCCTTCTTTGGAGGTTTTTAAGCAGAGGCTGGATGGCCATCTGTTGGGGGTGCTTTGCGATTTTCCTGCTCCTTGGCAGGGAGTTGGACTGGATGTCCCATGAGGTCTCTTCCAACTCTATGATTCTATGATTCCTACAGAGGTGAGAGGATCCCTCTTGTCCTTTGCTGAATGTAGCATTTGTTGGATTTTCTTTGTGAGTCCATAGATCATTGGTATCCCCACAACCTCTGAGGATGCCTGCCAGAGATGTGGGTGAAATGGCAGGAAAAAATGCTTCTGGAACATGGCCATACAGCCCGGAAAATGCACACTAAACCAGTTATTCCAGCCATGAAAGCCTTTGACAACAATCTGCGTAAACGTAGAATCCTTTCATGCAAAGTTGATTCCACATTTTCTGGGATTAATGGGATAGCTCTGGATTGGGTTCAGATTTAGTTGTCCTGAACTGGTACTGTCCAATCGATATTCTTATTATTTTTCATAATCCGTTTCATCTTCACAGGTGACAGGGCTGAAGGTGCAGAGAACAAGACACTTGACAAAGTGAATAAGAACAGGAGTAGCAACGGCTCTTCTTCGGGTGGCCCAATGTTGGACAACAGGATGAAGCGACTCTCCCTCCAATGCCTGAAAGTCAAAGATGGGATTTGTCCCGACAGAAAAACAGTACAGATTGGATGAAATTGATGCCACTTTGCAGCGAACGAGAATTCTAACTTATTTATACACAAACATCTTCTGGACGTCAGAAGGACATTGTGCCAATAACAAATATATGCCAAATCTCTTGAGTGTTAACTCTTTAAAACTGCACTAAGTTACATCAGTGTTGAGGGCTGATGCGTGTGGTGTGTTTTGAAAAATAAATGACATCATTTTGACAGATGTCGACCACATACATCATCAACTGTGCCTGTACTGCACACACTTCATATCTCTGTAGCAGTTTGGCAGAAGCAATAACTCGTGCTGTGCCACTTGAGCACAGAGGCCATGCCAAATGGTTGCGAGGCGCAGCCGATTGCCATTTGGTGAGCTGAGCTGCTGTTCAGACATACTAGAATTCCAAAGTGCCAGTGGCATATCTTTTTAAATACCTTGTTCTTTCACTGTATTATGTTTTGGGGTTATGAAAAAAGCTCTTGCATGTAATTGAGCCTAGAAACATCTGCTTTCTCTAGAGCTAATGAGTGATAGATGATATCTCAATGGTAGCATAAATGGATGAATATTGGTGCACATGCTGTTTGAGGGAGGGCAGGTTAACATGATAATGAACCCAGTGACTGATATGTAATGTATAGTGGAAATTCTTACCAAGGACACATTTTCCAGCACTTTTAAAGTGAGGACTGTATGATATGGTGTCCCATCACTAGGCATGGTTAGGAAAAGTTACGCTTACCCCTTGGCCTACCAAGTAAAAGTGGCGAGGTGTGCATGAAAGGCAGCATATCTGCAAGTTAGGATTGAAGAATGGGTGAATACTTTCTGCTATCTATGTCGGGTGTCATGTATAATGTATTTGGATTCATTAAAAGGGACGTATACATGTAGCATCCCTTAAGCAAAAAGCTAAATGAGACTGGAGGGTTGAAGCATGCTTTAGTAGCAGCTGTTAGGCAGTAGAGAAGTCTGGTAGTTACACTAATAATAGTTAAAATTGGATATTTTTTTGCTTTGGTAGTATTTCTGGAAATGGCATATGCCATCCAATAATAAGCTTATTTATTTTCTGGATGTTTATTGCCCCACAGTTTGCTTGGTTTAGTTTTGTCACATTTCCCCCTATTATGTAACTTATACATCTATTCTGGAAACAAATGTAAAAAAAAAAAAACCTTTCACACTACAGTAAACATCTCCTCTTCCCCTTTTTAATTTTGTCTACATGTGCAGTATGGTTACATTAAGTGTTTTAAATGATTTTAGGGGAAAAAAACTTGATAAATGTGTTTTCTGAGCTATACACCTACCTTCCATTTGTTTGCTTGGCTTACATTTCAGCTAAGGAGATGAATGCTGTGAGTGCCAAATGGAACGGTAAAATAAAGAGAAAAGTAGAAGTCTTTGGTGCGGTGTCTTTATTCTAGTGCAGGGAAAAGTGCAAGCTGTAGCCATGAGACGCAATCAAGCTTTGTGGGTTTATTCTAGGCATGATTAACCTTTTAGATGGCGCCGCCGGTGGGGTTCCTTGGGTGGTGGGTACTATGGTATTTGGGGAGGACATTGGTAGGGGTTGGGTAACATGTTCATGGCACTCACTATAACTTCAAATGTCATTTGGAGGGAGGGCTTTTTGTGGCTCTTCAGCACTGTGAACTAAAGCTTTCTGTGGAAGTGGGAGCCTGTCTGTGGAAGTGGGCACCCCAGCCACATACACATACATATTTACACACATATTTTCACTTTTATTATGGATATAGAATAGATATATAAGTCAGTGAAAGTGATGCTAACCACTATGTAAGAAAACGGAGGATCTTACTAGTTAGGGAAGCTAGAGAAGAAATATGAAATGCTGTTTTGGTACTTCAGTGCAAATGAAAGTGCAATCCTCAGGCCACATTATCCCCGGAATTTAAAGGACTGATCTTCTGATTAATAAGTGTCCTGCTATATGCCTGTGAAATGTGGACTGTCTACAGATGTCACACTCAACTCCTGGAATGATTCCATCAGCGTTGCCTCTGAAAAATCCTGCAAATCTCTTGGGAAGACAGACAGACAGACAAATGTCAGCGTGCTAGAAGAAGCAAAGACCACCACACTGAAGTGATTCTCCTACGCCATCACTTCCACTGGACTGGCCACTTTGTCTGATTGCCCGATCACCTTCTCCCAAAGCAGTTACTATACTACCAACTCAAGAACGGGAAATGTAATGTTGGTGGACAGGAAAAGAGATTTAAATATGGGCTTAAAACCAACCTTAAAAACTGTGGCATAGATACCAAGAACTGGGAAGCCCTGGCCCTTGAGCGCTCTAACTAGAGGTCAGCTGTGACCAGCAGTGCTGCAGAATTTGAAGAGGTACGAATGGAGGGCGAAAGGGAGAAACATGTCAAGAGGAACGCATGTCAAGCCAATCGTGACTGGGGCCGCTTTCCAACTGGAAACTGATATCCACACTGCAGAACATGTGGATCAAGAATAGGGCTCCATAG